TGAAGTTAAGTAATTATCCAATTTTGATTGTTTTCATGGGTGATTCTAGTATGGCTACTAACGGAGAACCTAGATTTCCATCTTTAAAATTGTAATAATATTAATACACTTAAAGTTTCAGTATAACATACTTCGAAAGACATATAGTTTTTGAAACATGGATGTTTGTTTTATGAATAAAATTTGTTTGTAGGTAGATCTATGTGATACAAGTGAAAGTGATAAAGAATAGTATATGTCGGTTTATGTTTTTATTTTCACTATACCAATGTATCAATTAGTATCCACATACTCGTTTTCTTTGGTTTGTGTATTCATGTACCGTAGATCAAGCCAGTTACTGTGACCATGTAGACCGTGTATTGCAGATAGTTAGATTTTACTATATTATGTATCCTAGATATTCTTTTTTGTTTATGCTTTTTGAATAAATAATGAGTTTGTGAAAATATTACGACATGTTGGTTATAATAATTGGTAGCAATGCTTTATACTTTTATCAGTTTAAATTATATAATTGGCCAGAAAGTGGAGCTGTGGTACCGTCCATATGAGGTGGTGATACATTAATATATAAACCTTTTACGAGATGAAAGCAACCAACACATACATTCTCTTCGTAGTATCTCTATATGTATGAATAAAATAAACAATATTTATTTCTGAAATACTAGCTATGTAAACATATCATTGGTTACTTGCCACCCACAGGCCACAGGCCACAGCTATGTTCCAATATTTTTTAAAAATCTATTTATTGTTTTGTTCACCACCTAACCCATAACCCATTTATACAACGGTTCTATATAGTTTATGTTCATTGAAAAATCGAAGAATTAATAATATATTGGATAGTACATTTTTGAACCACTCGTTTTATTCGCATCTTCCCATTTTGTAGAAGAGTTCTAATATTGATAATGACAAAAACTAGGAATCCAATGAAGATTATTTGGTCCAGTTATAATATGTGTGTATAGCTCATTTTAACCTCTTTGCTTTTTATTAGTGAAATAAGTTTTATTTTTGGTTGGCTTATCTCTTAAACCGGATTGGTTAATGTATGTAGAATAGAATGTATAAATACATCTTGTAAAGTGAATTCGGAGAATAACAACCAATAACAAACTTTA